TACGCAGGACAACAGCACTGCAAAGAGAAGGAAAATTTGACACAAACCCTATACCAAAACCTTCTTTCTAAGGAGAGGTATATGTCCAGCAGTGAACTATTAAAGGATGATGATGATAGAGAAAAAGGAATCAGATTTGTCACTTGATGGTAAGTGACCTAAATACAACTGAATTGTGACAACTACGTTGATGGCCTTTAAGGTGCTAGTACGCTCTATTCTTTAAAGTTTAAAAATATTATACGGCCAAGAATCTGCAGGCAATATTATGATATCTAGTCCAAAACAATGAATACAGTTCTTACTTAATCTTTTTTTTTTGTTTATATTATTGCAACCTGTATCCTTGAACATTTAGCATAAGGTTAAGTATTTATGGATTGTCTTGCAGGCAGTCAGTCCAGTGACGTGCGCCCTTTGTTTCTCATGTTCCCTGTAAATCACTGAGGGTGTGAGTTTTAATGAGAGTCCAGTATGTTCTTGTAAAATTTTATAGACTGTTTAATTGAGTATTATGCAACTGTGCCCCAAAGTTGTACTCCATAAGTCCAGATTGGTCTCAAAATACATTTGTATAGAAGTAGTTTATTTTCCAATGATAGCTGTGATTTTATGTTCAGTAGGCAGTAAATTTTTTTTTATTTGGATTCCTAGTGCTTTTCGTTTCGTAAAGAAATTTTTTTTTCCAAGTGAGACAACGATCCAAATAAATCACCATAATAAAAGGTACCGACTTAGTTTTAGTGTAATTTACTTTTATTTCTAATTTTATAAGATTCAAGTTTTTGTGCCTGGTATGTAACTGCTTCTTACTACTTTAGCTTGCATGCTGTAGTCTTCTGTAATTCAGGATGTACATGGCGTTATTAATAATCATTACATACTGTAATATTGCTATATTGGAGACTCAAAATAAATAAATAAAATTCGTTCGTTCGAGATAGTAAGTAAATTATCATAATATGTAAATATATTCACAGTCCAGCCTAAAAAAATCCAATACCACAGCGAATAAATAAACCAATTTAAATAAATTCTGTTCATAAACGATACCAGAAGATAATACGATAAAACATATACTAGGCACGTACTGGCCAAACACCAACGAAAATAATTTAAATAAAGAATTGTAACGGCATTGCAGGGCATGAATATATGTGCCGCTCACTGTTGCCAACCGAATAAAAATAAATCACATGTGATTTATTCTAGCTGCGAAGTCGCATGCCATGTTCCGGGCCGTTGCAACGCGGTATGTATGACAACTCCATTGCATAGGTTACTGCATAGAATTCAGTATTCAAGGAAATGCTACAGACTTTTGTTTTATTCATTATTGTGGAAACAAAGTTGCGAAAACAGTACTGAATCTTTGATGAAGTGCAGAAAGATCCATTATCATCAAAATTGTGGCAAACTTACCAAATGATCATTTCTATTGGCTGGCATCTATACTTATGTATTGTATCATAGGAAATTGTAGTACAATATCATAACCAAACATGGATGACTGCGCCATTTTAAAATTAAATTCAAATCATGCAACATCGTCACACCCTCCGGAAATTGAAGCTAGCGACGGCCGCTTGACCCGAGCTGTCAAAGTGACAGGTGTCAAAACGCCCTCTTGTAATATCTACAAGCGAAAGCGTCCTCGCCCTCTGACCGTGAAGATTTCTGATAAAAATGGAAATTAATATGAAACGAACACTGTTTAAGACACTTCTATTTATGTACAATATAATATAATCTTCTTTTTTTAAAACGTCTAAAAACACAATTGGAAAGATAACATTACATTTTCAAAAGTATATAAGTACTAACTAGTTCATATACCTACTGATTTAATTACGGCTATAACCATCTCACTGCGATATATCGTCGACATTAAGAGCCCTTAATAGTCCTCTGCTCGACATAGGCCTCTCTATAGAAAGGAGGTCTTGGCCTACTCTGTCACGCTAGCCCATAGGGTTTGTGTCAAGTTTTCCTTTTCTATGCAGTGCTGTTGTCATGCGCAGTTTGGTTCCTTAGTCGGCTTTTACAACACGGTGTGAATAGGGGTGGTGACACTTCATATTCTTAATCTGTAACCACACGGACAGCGACATATAAATAAAAAGTTTCAAGTTCTACCTAGGTACTTATACAAGTGCGTATCAAATAGTTATTAAAACGGTTGTAGTAAACAACGTTAGGATAAAATCTTCGCCATAAACCTTAACTGCTTGTAATAATCCATGCTAGATCAATCAACGTATATCTCAGATAACTGTACAGGGTTGTACATAAAATAGAAACTTAAAAATCAATTCATGACCTGTGAGGTCAAATGGAGATGGTTCCGATAAAACTATGGTATAGTTAGAAATGCACTATAAACGGGCATCAGAGCGCGCATCGATATTTCCAATAAATTCTTTGCTATATTTCTCAGGACCAATAGATAAGGTTCTATGATGTGCGCACACGACTCTTCCTAGACGCCTGCATTATGATGAGATGGCTTCATAACAATATGAATTTATGTTCATTCGACCCATAAAATTATTTAATATTGTGGTAATTTAATTGAAATTGAATTTATAAAGATGTATAAAGTATTTCAGTCAACGTTTACTAGATAAGTTCAAGATAAGTTTAGAATCGATCTTAGAAAGAGGTTAATTTTAACTTAGCTGTGTGTTTGTGTGTAATACCTTCGCCATATTTTAATATAACCCATATGTTCTTATGGGTAATAAATCGTTAATAGATTAGTACATAGAGTAGGGGCGAAAGAAATGAAGAAGTACCATAATTTGAACCGACTGCAATTGGTTGTAGGTATGTTTTTAAAGATACATAATTATTACGCGTATGATACATAAACTTTTACCTAACATCGGCACTAATTAGTTACAGTGGATCTCTGCCTTCATTAATCTTTGTGTGTTGTGTTGTCAAAATGTAAAGATACAGACTTGATTGACGTAAGGCCAGTCGATTGGTAATTCGTACCGATTGTAATTACGACATTGCGTCACTCATAAAAAAATAACGTGATTATAGTTCTACTTTAATCGGTGGGATTCATTAGTTTTATAGGCCGTATTTGAATTTCCTTTGCAATAAAAAACAAACAATATTTATGAAACTCTTTTAAAATATTTATTTTTAAGTATTTATAAATCGAAATTATAAATACAGGTGAAAATATTTACTTACAATTACGGGGTTTCAGTTGTTTTAAACGGAAATTTAAGTTTTCTTTTGCTGTAAAGCATAAATCGTAATTACGGCGTCAAAACAGTTTTCATTTGACCTAATATTCCGAGTTTAGAAATATATAATAAAAAACTACAATATCTAACGCAACTTTTAAAAAATTGTGAAGTCTATTCCGAATCCATGCGGACGCACAATGTAACCTTTTTGCTGAATCTTTCTTTATGGTTATAATAAAACTGAAGAGGTTTTAGTTCTGGAAGATCTCAGGGCTAGCTGTTATTCCATGATATTTAGGCGAGGAACAGTAGCTGTAGGGAACGGCTCCTTATTGAATATATTGTTTTGTACAGCAAAGTTAGTGCAGATTTATTGAAACAAACGCCACTTCCACTCTATTCACCGTGCGCCGTAGTAATGAAGACATACTGTAGTGGGCCACGCCCTCACTAAGCGGATAATTGAGTCATTATAGGTGCGCTGCGCGTACACCGGTCTCGCTATCTACGATCGCCGATGTGAGCCGATGGCGGCCGATCCGGCCTCGGGTACCAACGTGACGCAACCCTGTTTTATAAGATAGCTCGTGGAGATCATAATTTATTGTATTTACGAGAATTTTGTACAAATCTTACAGATTTATGTCCAATACTAGCAGAATCAAAAGATTTATTAAAATAATTTGGTCCAATTAGATCCACACACTTCCATAAGACTCGGTATTCCACCGCGTCTTCCCAATGAATACATGGGCCTTTTGCCCGTTTGTGTTTGACCCGCAAGATTTCTTTAAGAGTTTTTTAGTATATCCTAGAAACCTGCGTGGATGTGTGACCTAATAAAAAGATTGAATAGAAATTGAACTAATGGCGCTTCTGATTTCAGCCGGAATAACTTTATTGATTAATGAAATTAATTGTGAAATAACTAAATTACTAGAACACGTCCTATTACTGGCATTGGCGTAGGGAAGCCAAAGGTGCCATAGAATTAGTGTCGGAATTGGATTAATAACTTTTTATTTTAGTAGTCATTGTATAGAAACTGTTTTTGGAGTGATTTTTGTTCTCTCCTATAACTCTACTACTACTACTTCTACTCTAGTGATTAGAAGTCGTAGAACTTAGTAGTCGACGAGCTTAGATGTGAAATACATATCATCAGTGTTTATACCTATTTTGAATATATTAACATATTAAATTAAAAAGATTCGGACGCTCATTCGGTTTATAAGGAACCAACTAAGCAAGTGATCGATTCTACTCGAAAGCAAAACTCGTGCCATTTTCTTGTATTTACAATTAGCATCCTACGTTCTCAAAAGGCTGTCGGCATTGCACATAACCATTATCTTAAATTAATTTTATTAATTTATTATTAATCTCGTCCTTACAAAAATAAGCATTCGACCTACCTTCAACTAAAATTTTGAAAGATATTTAAACAAATATAAGTTTACAAGAAATTATTTCGGCTATATTTCATGAAACCGCCACAATTATGCAATGCAGGTTAATAAGCAAGTAGTTTGAAGAATTTAGAAATTGACATAAAGAATATCTCTTCGGTTAATGTCAGTACAAAAGAGAATTTAGTACAAAATACAGACAGTCACCAAACTTTTTAGACAAATATATAATAACGGAAAAAAACCTTCATGGACCAATAAGAAAAGTAGAATTAAAACTGTCACCTGGAGACTAGAACGCAAGCATCACAGATTAAAAGATATTTACTGAAACATCTTGAAAGCGCTGTCTATTGAGTGATATATTTATAGATATATAAATAAGATGAGCACTTTACCTAAAGATGCACTAAACAATCCAATATTGCGGTCAGACTCCAGCGATAATGCTCCGTATTTTCCAATTTACGTAGTTACTGCAGTCATGGCAGGAGTATTCGTTGTGGGGCCTATTGTTGTTCCACGGGGTCCTCACCGAGGGTAAGATTTTCAGTCTGTCCTTATATATCCAGAAATCCTTATATATCAGGAACTCCAGCATATTGCACCACTCTTATTTTATTCCTCCATAATACAAGGCTGATAGCTGATTGCTTAATTTTTAAAAGAAAATCACCGACTTTAGACCGAATCATTGTAAAAATAATGACTTTATACATCTCACAAACGGCCGTATAATCTCAAACTAAGCAGAGCCTGCACATGGTAACCAGACTGAGTGCGCCACAAATCTATTGTTCTCCAAAATTCATTGTTATATACATTCATTACTAGGAGCTCCAAAGATTTTTATATTAAAATCCATACTTATATTTTAAATGTGAAAGTGAGTATGTTTGTTACGCTTTCAGGCCTAAACCACTGAACAGATTTTTTAAATTATTTTACCAATGGAAAGCTACATTATCAGCGAGTAACATAAGCTACTTTTTACGGCGATAACCGACATACACGTAGGCGAAGCCATGAGCAAAACTAGTAATAAATAAAGCCACATTTCCAATTGAATTCGTTGCAGCTAAAAAACATTCTCTAGGTTCTTCAAGATTTTCTCCCCAGCTGCTCCTGGGCTTCTATGAGCATCGTAAAGGTTTTACGATGCTCACTCATTAAGGAAGCTCGTGAGGTGTGTAAGATTAGAGCAAGTGACGGATAGTTACGGTTGTTATCTGTCTCAAATAAATAATTTACAAAAATCTCTACCCAAATATTTCATTCTCACTCATAATAGATAAGTTTTCTGAAAGTTATAAGTAACTTTGTAATTATTTTGGATGAAAAAAGAACAGTGACCTCATTATGTCTTACTTGTTGTCAAGAATAAAGGGTAGCCATAAAATACACATTATTTTAAATCTAAGCGTCATATATTATTGAAAAGATAGAATCTAATATGAGAACGTCATAACTTGAATCAAAAGTGTATATGTGCATTGTATTCCTCATATTAGGTACTTTGTTCATTTTCGTTTTGTTTAATTCATTATTTTATTTTTCAGTTTGATAAGAGTCTCTTTAATGCTTACCACCATCTCCCTATGGCTATTGTAAGTTGCTCTTCAATGTTTAATACTGTTATCACAGGTACAATTTTAGGGGATGTATCTGATAAGTAATAATAATATAATTTAATAGTCTAGCTAGCTAGTATTCTCTTCTCTTCGCTTTCTCTTTCACTAAGAATGCTAACTATTTAGATAAAGAGAAAGCAAGTTAGCTAGCTCTGTCAGTGATAATGATAATAAAGATTAAAAACCACGGTTACTCTTCAAAAGCATTCCAAAGAAGATACTGTCACTAACCCTGTCTACGCTTTTTTACAGATAAAATTAATCTATTAGCACGATTCTAAAAAAAAACATTTTACAAAAAGATTTTAAATTACTTGTGTGTAGGAGTCATATTACTGTGGCTTCATAAAAAAGAAAACTTGATTACAGATTTTTTTTTCAAAATCTGGAGCCAAATTGAGTCCAGAATTTTATCTGAATGTTGGCCATATACCTATTCATGGTACAAGTACTTACAAACGTGGTAGAAATATGACAAACATTATTATTTGAATTATTTTTATCGTAAACGAAAATTCTACGACAAAAGTATACAAGATTCTACGACACGCATCGTATTCGTTCAGTACTTCAACTCATCATGTTTTAATGTTTTACAACATCCAACATCTGTCTTCTGTCATGTTACAGTTGGGTGACAATATACATAGCGCAGATAAATCCCCTCATGGGTCCTCGGATGGATAACGCTTCACTAGCTTGGATTGGATACTGCTGGGTAATAATAATAATGTCTTCATTTAGTTATAGCTTATAAGCTCGTACTAGAAACTAGACATAAATGTCTAGTTTACATTGTGCTTCTGTACCTGAACTAGGCTTAACACCTATATCTCAGGCGACAGTGCTCTTGACCATAATATTAGCTAAAATACTGAAAAAGTTTCTTCCTACATAGTTAACATTTAATGCTTTTGTAAGTTTTAACACTGAAACAAGTTAGAAAATTAAAAAATGCCTGATCACATCTGAAATCTAATATAAAATCATCTAATCGAATTGTGGTAATACAGGTAGTTTAATAACATTTAGAAACGTATTAAAGAACGTGGAGCGATGTGTCTACGGTCCCGCCATCGCAGTGGTGACACAAAGGTTTCAGCACCTAAGCTATTTCACTTACAGCACCAACAGGTATATAGTATTAGCATAGAAAAAAAATTGTTCCTTGTTCAGCACCTACAGCAGTTTCTAGTAATGGGATGTATATTTTTGCACAAAGTTCTCCAATAAAACTTCCCGATAAAAATCAATACTTATTTTACTAGTACATCCCATCACGAAAACTTAGGAGCTGAATGAGGAATAAAATTTTATATATTTTTTGTTCCATATTGAGCACTAAGCTAAAAAAGCTATTGGTGCTGGAAGTGGAATGAATAGCTGAGGTGTTGAAACCATCGGAAAAAATTGCTGGCGAAAGAGGAATATACCTAAATAAGGAGACTTACATGTTTACGTAAAACATACATATTACAGATATTATCACACAACACAAATTGATCGTGCTCATCACACAATATTTGTCACGGGTTTGAATCGCACCCACGACCTCTTTCTTAGCAGTCAGCATCGCTAACCACTAGTCCAACAGGCCAGGCATTTTCTCCTAAATCGCTTAGCAAACATATTTTTTTTTTAAATAGACTGGACTCGACAACATGCTGCGTGTTGTAGGCTCTGGTGTAAGTTCTGCGAAATTAATCTTTTTTTTTAACAATTAGAAAAAATATTAATGTAACATTTTCATCTTCATCACCTTGATAACTGACATTCCACCACTGCACGCTTTTCAAGGCACTTTTTGCCTCGCACTACCAATCTGTGGAACAAATTATCGGACCGATACGACCTTCAAACCTTTATGAAAAGAGCGTCGTCTACCTCAAAGGCCGGCAACGCACTTGTGCCTCTGAGTTGTTGGCATTCATGGGCAGCGGTAGTCGCTTTCCATCAGCTGACCCGTCTGTTCGTTTGCCCTCTGTACTATAGATAAACATACAAAAAACATACTTTTCATTCAGGGTGAAGATCCTAAGAAAGTGGGCTTGCGTCTTGGTCTACCTCCAGATTCGGACATTCCTGAACTGCCTGTCGGGCCTCCAGAACCGCCGCCTGAATTTTAAACAGAGTTAGACGAATGTAACTCAAGTGAAGTTTCCTCACAATATTATTTGCTAGTATTGTTAAATATATGAAATATTGTTTAATTATTAGACTAGTTCCATAGTTTTAATAAAGCATTGATGTGCGATAATTTTATAATTAATAGGTATATAATAAATTAAGTATTAATACTTTGCATTATAATGTAATTACTGATAACAGTTTTTCATCATAGACAAAACTTTATTTTAATTGAAATTTTCAGAGATCACAATCTGAATATATGTTAAGAAACTGCAATGGGTCTGCGTTCTCTTATAAACAACCATATTTAACTATACTTAGACAAATAAGTTAGAAAGACTAAAATACTTAGAAAGAAGAACATACTAGGCGATTCTTTATTGGCTGTACGAATGGCGTAGTGGTTTAAGCGGTCGCTTCATCTACTGCGCTGAGTGTTGTACGTTAGATCCCCACATGGGACTTTGTGAGATCCACAAATTGTTGTTCTTTGTGGTCTGTGTCCGTTTCATGAATGTTTGTAAAGTCCCCTGCGACACAGGATGTATTCCTAATGCGGGAGTTATCTTTTTAAGATGAGATAAGACGATTCTTCCTTCTTCTTACTTCCAGATCATTGTAAGCATAACAAAAATCTTTTTAAAATTTACGATAAATCGCGAAATTAATTTAAATGATTATTAGTACAATGGCCCTCACAGTCGAATTTTGACCGTTTGATACGTTTTATTTTGTGACCAAAATAACTTAAACTGTCGTATAGAATTTTGAAAAATGACGTGTAATCACATCTGAACTTAGATCTTAGACTCCTAGACCTCCTAGACCTAGAATGCGTGGAGGTATCCAGTTGAAATTAAAACCATATAACCGATAAGACCTTCAAACCTTCAAGAAAAGAGCGTACTCATGCCTCAAGGCTGGCAACGCGCTTGTGACTCCTGAGTTGCAGGCGTTCATGGCGGTAGTCGCTTTCCATCTGGTGACTTGTCTACTCGTTTGCCTCCTGTTCCATAAAATATATATACTTAGAGCCTGACCAGATGAGGCGTTTCAATTCATATTGCGTCCAGAAGAAACGTTTTACGCGCGTTGCTACGCAGGGAGGGATTCAGTTATAAACATGGACTCGGAGACAGCGGTTGTGTTGTGTCTTGCATACCGTCGTGACGTCGTGACGTCTACGTGACAGGATGACGCATAGTATGTTTATAACATTATACCCAAAGCAAAATTTTTCAACTACTTCCGAATGTCAGTAACATCGTTTGATGACTTACTAGAAATTATTCAAGAAGATTTAACTCCATGCCAAAATTATGTGGTACGGGATACTGTTTGTGCAGAAGAAAAACTCATGATTACTTTAAGGTAAGGAATAATTTGTGATACGTGTGTGGAGTTGACTCAACTCCACACACGTATCACAAATTATTACTACGTCCACTCGCTACGGATTCGCGCGTAGTACTGGACGCAGTAATGGCGCCCGAGTATCTCGACTCGCGCGAAGCTGGCGCGTAGAACGCGCGAGTCGAGAGTCTCGCTCATTACCAGCGTTTTACGCGCGAGTGAGGATACGCGCGTCATCATCTGGACGGATATATGTAGCTCTAGTCTAGTCTCTATCTCGGGAACACGCGAGAGACTACGCGCGAGTCGACTTGCGCGTAAAACGCCTCATCTGGACAGGCTCTTAGGTCTACAGTCCCTTGTAGCTGTGAAAAAACTTCAAACGTCAATCTTCTAAATTAACGCAAAAAAGATACAGTAGAGTCTGCTGAATAAACCACGAGGCTTGATTCTTGAACTATTTATATTATGTACCAACAAATTTGTACGGAACCCTCGGTGGGCGAGTCCAACTCGCACTTGTCCGGATATTTTTTTATTTTTAGCTTCTCCACAAAGTATGCCAAACATGATTACGTGCACCCTATTTGTTTAAAAAGGGGTACAAAGATCTTTCATCACGTATTAATATATGGATTTTATGACAAGTGCCATATTTCTTCAGGAGAACAGTGCCTGAATTATTGAAGACAAAAAGAACGAATATTCACCCGACAACTTAACGTTTTTATAACGTTATATTTTGTTACTTTTCATCAACATTAAAGGCTAGGCATTTGCCTTATACCTAAATTACTACAGCGTACATCGTCGTTCTTTTAATGTTTACTACCGTTTGCACGTAGCTGCAATCTCATAAAAATAATTTTCTTTGTTTTTTTAAATATAAACAAATATCTAACTTCTTACAAGATTTTATTTTACTTGCAAAATATTTATATTTTATTTATTTATTTACATAACTACACAATTAGTTAAATGTAGGCAAACCTTAAACCACTGAGGTTTAAGCGGCATACCACAACATGCAAAATCAATTTAGTACATAACAATTAATAAGTCCGTGTGGTGACAGATTAAGAATAGGGAATGTCACCACATTAATTTATCCCGTGGGTGTCGTAAGAGCCAACTAAGGGAACAAACTACGCAGGACAACATCACTGCGAAAAGAAGGAAAACTTGACACAAACCCTATACCTGGCCTCTGGCCAGCGTAGTATAGTAGGCCAAACCTCCTTTCTAAGGAGAGGCCTATGTCCAGCAGTGGACTTTTAAAGGCTGTAGATGTGATGTTGATGTGAATTAATAAGTAAATAACATAAGCAATTAAAATAATAATATTAACTTAATAGTATTAAGTTTAGGGTAGAATATAATGCAGTTATTCTCAATAAGATATACTGAAATTTAAATGTAGTTCGGGATTTGAATTTAGTTCGGATAACAACAAAAACAGTTTAAAACACATTATATTATGTTATAAATATATATTAATAAAAATGGTTAAGTTGGTTTGTGTGTGCTTCAAAACCTAAGTTCAAATATTCATCTCAAATTTTGACACGATATACGACCTGCTTCAGAGATTGTTTTTTTTTTCGTCAGTTTTATTCCTCCTTCCCACACTATGCCACGGCAAAGCGTGCCAGGTGCCAGACAGTAGTTTATATAAATACATGTAAAAAAATAGATACTTATTGTTTTTTAGATTACTAAACACTTGTTTAATTAACAACCACACATATTCGCATTTAAAAAAGTTACATTTTCTGTAACGAAATGCAATCAAAAGCTGTATACAGAGAACGAATCGTAATCGCGTACGCCCCAAAACAAATCTGTGGGTATCGCGAAAGATCAGAATAACATTTGTACCGGAATCATTTATCAGCGTTGATTCTCTTTCCATTTGGCCTCCCTCAGCCCACACCACCGCTCCTTCGTGTCATTAAAAAGTCAGCACATAGTGACTTTTTGAGCGATTCACGTACATATTTATTTACAACTAGCTGGTACCCGCGACTTTGTTCCCGTTTAATTTGAAAAGCGCTGTCATAGCGGTGTAATACGGTACGTGACTGCAGTCCATGAGGCCTCGGGTTCGATTCCCGGATCGAGCAAAACTTTACAGGGGTTTCTGAGAAGAAAAATAGCCTAAGTTACTAAATCAAATAATAAAATAATCTTTATTAGAACAAGAAACAGTAGGTATTCAAATTTGCTTGTGTTCGAAAATAACTACATTAGCACCTCCAGAAAGGTGCAGACATCAGCGTTCCAGGAATAATAAAGATAACTTGGTGACTATTATAAGTTATACAATACAAGTAGAAAAATAGTAAGAGAGTGTGTGTGTGTTTGTGTGTGTGTGTACATGTGTGTGTATTTATATACATATGTATATACGGGATTCGCCAATGAATATAAGTATGTGTGAGTACTGGTGAAAGTTCCAGTGACCCTATACCTTCACCAACGATTCCAGTTCGTCATACGTGAAAGCAGCCAACCATTCGTCGGTAAGTTTCTTACATTCACGGGTAGAGTATGGATAAATATCAAGTACTCTATTGACTCAGTTATACAAGAATGGAGCAAAGTATGAGTATTGACGACGAACAACTTCTAGTCTTGCAGTCTCAGGCGGGCCCGGTCAGATCGAAGTTTACGCCTGTACAAATCGTGGTGAAAGGGTAACTCGGCATGTTTACGCATAATCGTGTGCAATAGAAAGGAGTGCCTCACTGTAGGTATCTTGCATAAGGAGTACAATTCATTGGTTGGGAGTCATGACTTTGAGCACTGCCCTCTGAGCTCTCTCTAAAAGTAGCAAGAGACTTTTACCAGTGTTTCCCCGTGCAGGCACACAGTAGGTAAGAATTAAGTTTTCCAACGCAAAGTAGACCGTACGAAGAGTAGATAAATCTGCCGAACTTCTCAAGTTCTTAAATACATTGATGAGCTTGCGCACTCTAGATTCTAGTGGGTCTATTTGATAACTTCATGACAATGTACTGTCGATGTAAACGCCAAGATATTTAATTGCTTCAGTGCGTGAGATTCTGGTACAATTACAGTCACTATCCGCAGCAGATCCACATTTATGGGCTGTCAAATGTTCAAGAGCAGATGGTTGTGACGTAAGTTTTAAGAAGGCGCTTAACAGGCTGCGTATCCAGGTTGGCAGATCTAAGGACAATCTGTCTAGGTGTTGATTTATCGACCCAAGCGCAAATAAATGCGACTGTGCCGCATCTCTACAGACAATGCCATTTATTCACATGCCCCGCGAGTAGTAATAAATTATTTTCATTATTTCTCATTACAAAAACGAAAAAGTAAAATCGCCATCGCTTATGAGTGTGATAACACCCGTAATCCTAACGTGTTCAGACTAATGTGTTTCAGGGGAATAACATCTTTGTGGGGAGTTAGTCATTAATACTTGTTGGCGACGACGTTTAGATTAAAATTTAATATTTGTATTAACTCTCTGCTTGTTATGAATACATAAATACTCGATCAGTTGATGAATTTAGCGAAATATCGTTCAGCTTTTATACAAAAACAACAGAGCAAAAAGTTGCTAAAACTTGTGTTTTCTTTGAAACAATGAAAAGTTTGCCAAAAGTGTAGCAAT